TCTCATGAACACCCCCCAGCACTGGGGCTAACTGGTATTTATTTGCTGTTACAGTTTCATGCTGATGAACACAATCTCGAAGGAAGCATTTGGCCTGCATTATGCAGGTGGTCAGACTGGCTGATCACAATGGGTCCTTCTGACTTTAGAATCTGACGTGGCTTTGTTGGATCTCCTGGTGCTTTTCTTTCTGCACAGGTGAGGGGTTACTTTTACAATCATCTTTACTGTACTTATGCCTGTTTAAGGGCATATCTATGCTACAAAATTAAGTCTACTTAAGTTAGGTCCACTTACACCATCACAGTAATTAAATCAGGTCTTTGTGTCCACACCACGCTCCTTCCGTCGGTGGTGCGTGTCCTCACCAGAAGCACTTGCACCAACTTTAGTGGGGCCTTATGGGGCAATGACAACCGGAGCCCCAATGCCCTGGGCCAACAGCCGGAGTCCCGGGGCTGACAGGGCACCATCTGTCAAAGGCAGCAACAGGCGATGTAAGCAACACAGTGTCTACACAGACACTGTGTCGACCTAACTACACCAACCTAAACGCTACCCCTCTCATGGAGGTGGAGTTATTAGGTCGGTGTAGCGGGCGAGTTAATCGGTGGGCGGAACATTGCAGCATAGACATTTACACAGTTAGGTTGACGTAAGACAGCTTATGTCAACCTAACTCTAATGTAGACCAGGCTTAAGTCGGGTATACTACCTTGTGGAAATAGCCACAACATTCATGTTTGCCCTTCTTATTTCCAAGTCTTAATAAAGTAGAATAACTATACCAAGAAAGTCAAAATCAGAAACATAGAGCTGGAAGGGACCCTGAAAAGTCATCAGGTCCAGCCCCCCATGCTGACACAGGATCCAAGTAAACTTAGACCCTCCCTCACCGGTGCTCATCCAATACCTTCTTAAAAACTTCTAGTGATGGGGATTACACAAGCTCTCTTGGAAGCCTAATCCAGAGTTTAACTACTCTTACATTTGGAAAGTTTGCCTAATATCTAATTTAAACCTCCCTTGCTGCAGATTAAGTCCCTTACTTCTTGGCCTACCTTCAGTAGATATGGAGAACACCTGATCAGTCTTCTTTGTAACGGCCCCTAATATATTTGAATACTGATCAGATCCTCCCTCAATCTAAATCCCCCCCCCAGGACGCAACAGGCCAATTTTTTTTTTTTTAACCTTTTCTCATAGGCAAGGTTTCTAAGCCTTTTATTGTTTTTGTTGCTCTCCTCTGGACTCTCTCCAATCTGTACACATTTTTCTTGGTGTATGGTACCCAGAACTGGACACAGTACTCCAACTGAGGCCTCAGCAGTGCCGAGCATATTAGAACAATTACCTCCAGGTTTTACATACAAACGCCTGCTAATACACCCCAGAATTATATTAGCTTTATTCACAACTGCATCATGTTGTTGACTCATTCAGATACGGCATATAGTTTGACTGATATGCTTTCAAAATGTCAGATTTTAGAGTGCCCATATGACTGTATGAGGCACTTAAGATAAAAAACCTAAAAGACAAGTCTCACTGCCCCAAACTTACAACATAAGTGACGGACTTGATAGACAAGAGGATAGGGCAAGAAAGGGCACAGGTTATGGAGATTTTACATGATGACCCAGTTTAAGTTCTCATACTTCTTTTTTGTAAAGACTCATTTAACGTAGGCAATACTAGAGAAGTGAGATTTTAGCAATAATTTGAATTAGGTGAGGGTTAAGGGCTTGAATAGATTCTGAAAGAGTGGTGTTCCAAGCACTAGGAACAACATAGAAGGAGATATGGAGACAGAGACATAGAGGTACCTACAGTAAGTCAGCAAATTAACAGTGGGCATCTAGAAAGGAAGTTTGTTGCAGGTGACTTTTAGAAATAGTTATAATTCAGAACCAAATTGTGCATACAGCTAGTATATGTAACTGTGTGAACTTGTCATCCTCATCTTTTCTCCTTCCTGCCTACTATTTGCCACTTACCTATCAATATGTGGTACTTTTCTGGCTCCCATCACTGTAGTATCTGAGCATGACAATCTTTAATGTCATAACTAATGTACTTGTTGCATCCAGTCTTAGACTGTAAACATCCAAGGGTAAGGGAGCATATCTACCCACATTCTATCTCAGCACCTAGCACAGTAAGGTCCCGACAACTGGCGGCTGAGTATTCCTGCAATGGCTCCCCCCTCCCTTCCCCCCCGTAAAGAGAGACAAGAGCAGCAAAGAGGTAGAGAAGCTAGTGTTGTTAATGGAGCAGAGATCAAGGGACAAAACAGAAGTGACCAGGCTGGACATTAGGAATGGATTTACACTGACAACCCAAAATAGCTTACATAACACAGCAAGGCGTGATTGGATAATCACAACTAGTGCCCTGCTAGCCAAGGTTCCTGAGGATTTTACAGTTCAACTCAGGTTTCTATTAACAACGGGGCTGGGTCATTTTATGAGGTGAGACAAGAAGGATTCAACATATTATACTAAATGATAAGCTATGACTCTAGCCTTATGGACAGAATGAGACTTACTTAAAAGCATTTTGCTTTTTATTTTAGCTAACCGGTATGAGATGAAATAGGAGGTATGCATGTCTGAAATGGTTTAAAGAGGAATATTGACACATACTGCCTTGAATCTTTGTTACTTCCAAAAATCTAAGCTCTTGTGCAGTGAAGTTATTTACTGGAGCTAGAATCCAAAAGGAAATAGCTCCTCAAAAGGGAAACAGATAATGTGAAGTGATTTTAGAGCAGGACATATTTTTGGTCCCCAAATACTGACAGATGCTTCATATAACTTTTAATAGTAATAGCGGGACTTATCTGAACAACAACAACAAGAGATTGTTAAGATTTTCATAAACTACAAACAAGGACAATCCACCTTCCAAACAATGTTTTTAATATAGAAGCAAGAGTCTAAAGAGCACTAAATGAAATAAACGGAGAAACGACAGCCTTGACAAAGCACAGGACTGGGAGTTTGGAATCCTCAGTTCTATTTTGTAACTTCTCTGCATTAGTTTCACTATCTGTAGACACAGGATAATTCAGACTTTCACAGGAGTGTTACAAAGCTAAACTAGTGTTTGTAAAGTACTAAGGTCCTTTGGATAGAAAGTGCTACTCAAGTGAAAAGTTTTACCTTCATCTAAAAATAAGAGGTGAAAAGGAAAAGTATAGCAATAAAGATTATGCTAAGACTTTCTACACTGAAAAGGTACGTCATTCACAAATAATTTTTTGTAAAGCAACGCTAATCAGTTTTCTATGTACAGAAAACGAACAGCTGTTCACTTACTGCTCCTTATTAGTTTTGGTATTTCATTCTGGGAAAGAAGCAGCTCTGTCAGGATTTGTATTTTTACCTGCTAAAACAGCATGGTGTTATGTCTCTGCGACTGCTTATAGCAACAAACAAGAAGTACTCTTAGCATCTAACATCTATCACTAGAGTCACTTGCAGGAGAGTGTAATGAGGTAGCATGGCTTTTAAAAAAAAAAAAAAAAAAGGACATAACCATCTTTTAAAAATGTTGTGCCCAAACTTGTGTCATCTGTGTGTATGATTCCACTTTCAGATGTGAACCCTGCAAGTATGTACCCTTAGTATATAAAATGTTGCAGCAGCTACATTTCAGCTGAGATTTTGGGTGAAGGGTTTCAGCAGGAAGAAGGGGAGGGCTGTCATTTAAGCTAAGGCATAACAGAACAGTTCAGCTGAACCAAACATGATCAAAAGTTACTAAATCTAGAAACTGCAGCAAAAGTTTAATTAAATTTTAACTTTTTAACTGTGGTTCCACCAAAGCAAAATACAGCTGGATTGACAAACTAATTAAAAGATCAGCAGATTTGATGTAATGCCTATTACCAGTTTTTCTTACTTGATAGAAAACAGTTGGAAAAAACCTGCTCCTTCTTCAAGTCACTTATCTACTGAAGATGCAAAACTATTGCATGTGATCACACATGTAAAACCACAGACAGAGACTGCATATAAGTTTCAGTGATCCAGATGAAAACCCATTGTCAAGAGAATTCAGATTATTCAGAATGATGAAATGCTAGTATGTGGATTTGGCAGAGAATCAGAGAAGTTTCCACCACCAAAATAAATAAATGCAACTGATCGGAGGGGTGGAGAAGGAAGCATATGGCCTTATGTATGAGGAGAAACATTTCAATATTTCACATAATTCACTAAAGTGCATTAAAACATTTGATCCGGCCAAACTGGGATTCATTCTTTTAATCACACCCAAGATCTCATGGTAGAGCAGCATATATCAGAAATACTGCCTCACAAGAGAGCGCAGTAATAACATAACATAGGTATGTCCACAGTACCAAACACAAACAACAACAACAAACCTCAGAACCTGGGTCTACAGACTTGGGCTCACATTACATAGCTAAAAATAGCAGTGTACGTGTTTGTAGTCATGCTGGAGCTTGGGCTCTGAAACTAAGCAAGAGGGGTGAGTTTCTGAGCCCAAGGGGGAACGTCTACATTGCTATTTTTACTGCTCTAGGGCAGTGATTCTCAAGCAGGGGTATGTAAAGGTTTCCGGGGGGGTACATCAACTCACCTACATATTTGCCTAGTTTTCCAACAGGCTACACAAAAACACTAGGGAAGTCAATACAAACTAAAATTTCATACAATGACTTGCACACACCGCTCTATATATTATCCACTGTCATGTAAGTACGTTTGTATTCCAATCTATTTGTTTTATATGGTAAAAATGAGAAAGTAAGTAATTTTTCAGTAAGTGTGCTGTGATACTTTTGTATTCTTATGTCTGATTTTCTAAGCAAGTAGTTTTTAAGTGAGGTGAAACCTGGGGGTACGAAAGAAATCAGACTCCTGAAAGGTGTACCATCGTCTGGAAAGGTTGAGAGCCACTGCTCTAGCGTGAGCTGGAGTCTGTAGTCCTGGACAGTTTATTTTTATTTTTTTGCACTGTAGACTTACCCCATAAGGCCTCCAATTCCTGCAGCTGAAGCCAACGAGCATGCACCATGGAGCTCACTGCAGGATTTGGGCCCTAGTTATTAAAACCCAGAAAAATGGGGTCTTATGCAAACAATTTATTGTAACACTATAATGTTTAACCGAACAGAAACCTCACATAAAACATGCTATTCAAAGCAAATAATCTGAAGATTTTACGCTATCCACTAAGCGTAAAGAAGCCCACTGTCATTTTGGACTGTTGATTTTACCACAAAAAGTTATTCAGAAGCTGGATATTAAGAGTCTAGCTACAAGCATAACAGAAACTGTGCAGGTAAAAATAAGATTTCACAGAAAAAACATTACCTTTACAAGAGCTAGAAAGGTAGGAAGATTCTAGATTTTGTTTAAAGCGCATTCATCCGAAATGGTGTTGAACTATACAACTGTGATAACAGCCCAAGTCATCCGCTTCAGTAGAATGATGCAACTTTAGGACAGAATTATAAAAATGTTCTATTACTATGACATTGTTTTACAAAAAAAAGTCTTAATATACTAAGACAAACCAGCATGAAATTTCAGACAACTTTCTTAAACTGACATTTTAGATAGTCAGTGCTAATAGGACAACTATAAAACTGAAAAACCTGAATTGATATAAGAGTCAAAATTAAGTTCATCCGATGCCTTGGGCTCATACTTTAAAATTCTAATTTATATTTTGTCAGCAGATGTTAAATGGTAATCACCTTCCATAATTAAACATGACACAAAGAAAACTGACCACCAAGTACCAGTTTCAGCTATATTAATTTTGCATCATCTCATCCAACATGCTGCAACAAATTGCTCTCTTTCAGAGGATTTCTAATATGACCATAAAGACAACAGGCAGACCAAGTTTTAAGTAAATTTTTTTGGATAACATACATTTTCAAAACTGATTGTTATCTACTGGGAGATGACATTAGGCATCCAGATTTGGATTTTCTTAAGTTTTAGTTTAATGAAAATATTTTTCACAGTAATTACCCACATTTCCTCATCTTCACTATATATGAGGCCACTAGGGAATACAGTGAACTGACCTGAGCCATAAATTTGCAAAACACCACACAACATAGTATCATTTTCATCATATCCAGAGAGCACAGTGTGCACGGTTCGTCAGTGCACAACAGAAACTGCAACTTGGTGGCTGAAGTTCAAGTGATGCTGGTGGACTAGGCGAAGGCTTGAGGGTGTAGTAAAAGGGATTGTTCAGCCTCCACTGAGGTTCACAAACTGGGTGCTCTGATAGTCTCATTTATTCTTGGGAGCAGATCCTCTGCTGATGTAAGTTGTCATAATTCCATTGACTTCAGCTATCTGCCCCCCTGGAATCCCATGTGCTGTTGGTAGCAGAGTGCTTTTTCAGCCTGTGGCTGTAATGTTTCTTCAAACTTGGACCTAGCCACAGAAGTCTGTCTATTTAGAAAATTCGGCATTAGAGTAAATATCATCACAATATGTAGTTGAAAACATATTCCTTTGTAATCAAGCACTAGCTTTTCAGTTCAAAATCTTCATTTCAACAATCATACTTAATTATTCATAAACCAATATTTTTGTTGTTATCTGTAAGTACATTTAACTTAGTAATTAGTTCTAATATTCTATTAACAGAGAACACCTTACTTTATTAGCATCTGGCAACAGAGAGCTCTGTAAAACGTATGGGTTTGTTTGCCTTTCCACCTCAAAATTTCACCACACAGGACCAGCTGGTAAAAAGAGAAGTAATAATCCAGCAGGAGGATACCCTCCATTTGAGGCTGCCAATTTGACCCAACAGTAAGACAACTATTCAGATACAACTCCCTACTACACACAAAAATTGGCTTTTTGAAGGTCTGCGCCATTCTTGACAAGAAATTAAAATAGGTTGCTTAAAAACAACTAGAGAGTTGTTTTTAACGTTGGGTAGGCATTTAACATTAAAAGGCATGACTAGTTTTTTTGTTTTAAAAAAGCACTAACATGGCTGGTAGGCCATGCTTATGCTCAAATAAATTTGTTAGTCTCTAAGGTGCCACAAGTACTCCTCATAGTCTTTATAGTCTTTCACTCTGGAAACACAAGTGTGCACACTCATGTCAGAATGGATTTTAGTTTCAAACTTGAGATTAATAAAAAGTTTTCATAATGCAACAGTGATTTTTAACAAAAGTGAAAAATATGTAATGTCCTTTAAAATTTGATCTCTGGTTGGAAAGACTGTTGGAATTCAAGATGTATTGATCTTAATGTCTTTACATACAGACCTTAAAGAGGATTAGCTAATTGGAAAAAGGATCTTTTCCCTAACTACAACTCATTTTCATGCTCCAAGCCACCAGTTTACCATTCTTAGTTCATTTCACACTGGTATGCAATGAGAGACAGTACAAAATACCAAAAAGACGATCAAACACAAGTGGCCTATATACTAGAAAGCATTCATTTTTAGCATATGCTGGGAACCTAACTGCTTATTCTGTAAATAGTTACCAGTTTTATAGACTATAAAAATATATTCCTCTTTTTTCTGTCCCCCTCCAACTCTATGTTCATTCTTTCAGTACCAATTTGTTTGTGGTCCACTTTTAACTTAAAAACACTGTAGTATCTATTTTTTTATATTATTTCAACTCAGTTGAACTCAATTTAGTGCCCACAGAATTGAGAGATCTAACACTTGGCTGAATCGGATATAAAAGAAAAAGCCACCATGCAAGCTTCTCATATAGCTCTGTGAAGGCACCTCAATTCTAAATGGCTGCAGCCTCTCTCAATAAGTTCCAGCCCTATCTTGAGCAGAAATTATTGCTCACGCTTGTTAGTGCGGCAAATTTGCAATATTCATATAAGAGACTAGGATGAGAAGTATGAGCCATCTGCTGGAAACTGAGGCAAACTTGGGAGCTTATAAAATAGACACGAGAAGACATACGATAAAGGTGCAAGCAGTTATGTAGCGGCTGCAATTAGCATTTTTCAGAAGGCTAAATAATTGCAAATGATAGAGCACACACAGACAGGGACCAAGAAAGAGTCTCTTCCCTGCCGCCATCCCTACAGCTACTATAGCAAATACACCATTTATAATAAAGCCCAGGGGAGCCTGCCACCATCTGGCCTTCGTGAAAAGAGACTAGACAAGTTGGGTACTTCCTGAAATCGGCTGCCTGTGCCGCCCCCAGCAGCAATGAGCAGCAGTAAAACCAAAGATAACCTTGGGCTTCCTGAACTGTGAAAAGTTCCTCTCCTCCCCGTCTTCCAGAGATTCCAGCCAGGCTAATTATAACTGATCTGAGCGCTTCAGCCCAGCCCCGACTGAATATCGCCCGCCAGGTGTCCCCTCCCAGAGGTCCTGCCCGCAGCCAGCCCGGTTCCCACCCGCCCGAGTCCCTGCAAGCAGCCAGCCAGTCACCCAGCCCCCCCGCCCCCATCCACCCAGGTCCTCCCCGCCCACAGATCAGGTCCCCCCCGTGGCCCTCCACCCAGGTCCCTCCCCGCCCGCCACTCCCTCCCTCCCTCCAAGTCCCCCCGCACGGCACCTCTCCCCCGCGCCCGGCCTCTGCTCAGTCGCCCCGCTCCAGCCGGTCCCTCACCTGGGAGAAGAGCGAGCGGGGCCGCCCGCTCCTTCGCAGGCTGCTCTGCCCTCCCCAGCCAGCCGGGCGGGCTCCCTCAGCGGGGCTGGGACTCGGACGCCTTCCAGGAGGAGGCGAGCGCCACCCCCGCCGGGCCGCGGCCACCTCAGCTCCTCCCCTCCGCACGCAGCACCGCGGCCAGCCCTGGGGAGGGGGCGGGGGGAGCAGCTGCGCGCGCCTCGCCCGCCGGCAGCTAGCCCTGCTCCCATTGGCCAGCGGCTCTTCAAGCCAGCCCAGCAACCATTTTCTCACTGGCCGGCTAGCTTTGGGGGGGATGGGCTCTGCCGACCCAACAGCAGCGACCAACCCCAAAGCCGCCGGAGCCAGAGGGGGCGGCTCCCCCCTCCCCTTGGGCCAATTGGAATGGGCGCAGCCGCAGTTCCGCCGCAGCGCGAGCCCCGCCCGCTCCTCTCTCCTGGTGGGAGGCGGCTGCTCTCGCGCGCGCGCGGGGCTGTGCCGCCAGCCGTCCCCAGGCAGCTCTAGCGCCCGGCTGAGCCCCCGCGGCAGCTGGGTGCCTTGCGCGTAGCAGGCAGCAGCGACACGGGGGCGAGCAGTACTTCTACCCTCCGGCTGCTGCTCGCCGCTCGCCCCCGGCTGCTGCACGCAGGCTGTTGCCCCTCTGATTTCAGGCGGAGTGTAGGTGAGCCCCCTTCTTTGAGGGTGCCCCCGCCCGTTTTCCCGTAAGGATCTGCTGCCCCATACATTAGCCAGCCGGTTTGTTGGTGAGCCTCAAGATCCGCCCATCGCTTGTGACACTGAAACAAACGGGCAGAAGGACCCACCCACCTCTTCTTACTAACAGCTTATAAAAAGAACAGGAGGACTTGTGGCACCTTAGAGACTAACCAATTTATTTGCGCATGAGCTTTCCTGAGCTACAGCAGCCCCGGAGTGGGGGCTCTTGGACGCCTCGCTGGTAAAGGCAATGCAAAGGCCCTCCTTTCCATAGAGCCCCTGTGCCCCTCCGCGTCTTTTTCAGCGCCAGGCACCTTTTTAACAGGTAATAGCACCACAGTAATACAGCAGCATAAGATCTAGTTTAATGGACATTCCTTCCACTTACTTTTGGTGCTGCACCCCTGTCACCATAAAAAGCCTCCTGCCTCTAAAAAGAGCTCCACAATTTTATAAATGCTCGCCCTTGTTAAAGGCAAACTGAAAACATTAAAAAGTCATAATATGAAAAATTATTGCTGCTACAAACCTAGGGTAGTACAAATACAGGGCTTGCAAGAAGATATGTTTGAAAAGTTGTTATTCAGATATAGGGCGGTCACGGAATTAAAAAAAATCAATCACAATTAATCGCACAATTTAAAAAATGAATCGTGATTAATCACGCTGTTAAAGAACAACAGAATACCATTTATTTTAAATATTTTTGGATGTTTACTACATTTTCAAATATATTAATTTCAGTTACAACACAGAATGCAAAGTGTACAGTGCTCATTTTATATTTGCACTGTAAAACAAAAATTGCATTTTTCAGTTCACCTAAGTACAGTAGCACAATCTCTTTATCATGAAAGTTGAATTTACAAATGTAGAATTATGTACAAAAAAAACTTGCATTGAAAAATAAAACAGTGTAAAACTTTAGAGCCTACAAGTCCACTCAGTCCTACTTCTTGATCAGCCAATCACTCAGACAAACAAGGTTGGTTACAATTTGCAGGAGATAGTGCTGCCTGCTTCTTGTTTACATCACCTGAAAGTGAGAACACCACCATTACAGAAGACATGCATCCATGCTGATGATGGGTTCTGCTTGATAACAACCGAAAGCAGTGCAGACTGACGCATGTTCATTTTCATCATCTGAGTCAGATGCCATCAACAGAAGGTTGATTTTCTTTTTTGGTAGTTTGGGTTCTGTAGTTTCTGCATCAGAGTGTTGCTCTTTTAAGTCTTCTGAAAGCATGCTCCACACCTCGTCCCTCTCAGATTTTGGACAGCATTTCAGATTCTTAAACCTTGGGTCGAGTGCCGTAGCTATTTTTAGAAAACTCACATTGGTACCTTCTTTGTGTTTTGTCAAATCTGCAGTGAAAGTGTTCTTAAAACAAACATGTGCTGGGTCATCCTCTGAGACTGCTATAACATGAAATATATGGCAAAATGGGGGTAAAACAGAGCAGGAGACATACAATTCTCCCCACAAGGAGTACAGTCACAAATTTAATTGACACATTTTTTTAATGAGCATCATCAGAATGGAAGCATGTCCTCTCGAATGGTGGCCGAAGCATGGAAGGGTATACAAATGTTTAGCACATCTGGCATGTAAATACCTTGCCACGCTGGCTACAAAAGTGCCATGAGAACACCTGTTCTCACTTTCAGGTGACATTGTAAATAAGAAGCAGGCAGCAGTATCTCCCCTCAATGCAAACAAAATTTTTTTGTCTTCACGATTGTCAGAATAAGAAGTAGGACTGAATGGACTTGTAGGCTCTAAAGTTTTACACTGTTTTGTTTCTGAGTGCAGTTATGTAACCAAAACAATTCTGCATTTGTAAGTTACACTTTCATGATAAAGAGACTGCACTTCAGTACTTGTATGAGGTGAATTGTAAAATACTATTTCTTTTCTTTATCATTTTTACAGTGCATGTATTTGTAATCAAAAATAATAATATTAAGTGAGCACTGTGCACTTTATATTCTGTGTTATAATTAAAATCAATATTGAAAATGTAGAAAAACATCCAAAAATATTTCATAAATTTCAATTGGTATTCTATTGTTATAAGTGTGATTAATCATGATTAATTTTTCTAATCGCGATTAATTTTTTTGAGTTAATCGCATGAGTTAACTGTGATTAATTGACAGCCCTATTCATATTGTAAGTAGTTGGTAGCGAGTTAGGGCGTTATTTGTACAGGCTAATGGGCAGAAGTACAAAGGCTGCAGTGATATTCTGCCTGAACGACACCCAAAGCTCCTCAACTGCTGTACTAAAATCGGTTTACGGTGTTAGTGTTACAACTACTGAAACACATGCCAGCTTCTGACCTTACCTAAAACACAGCCTTTGACTGGTACTGCCTCCCCAACAACACCGTCTCTTCCCAAATCCGAAAAGAACAGAAGTAGGGGCAGCAAGCCATGACTAAGCATGATCACTGATTCAATGAATAGCAAGGGTATCAGTAAACAGCCATTAGTAGTCTTCCTTTTTCTGTAAGTGCAGTGGAGTAAGACACCCACATTCTTCTGGGATGAAGCTAGAGTTGGGCAAATATTGCAAAAGCCGTTCACATTCACTTGATTTTTTAAAATGAGTTTTCTTTGGACGTGCTCACACGTCTTTTATATTTGTTTTCCATGAACATTTGCGTAATCAAGGTATATTGGCACAAACGTTTGTGCAAAGCAAATAGAAGTACTTGCGTGTGCAGTTTTGAAAGATCGATTTGAAGTTCTTTTAACCAATATTATGACTTTACCTTACAAATTACAGCTAAGCAACACTGCTCACATTTAAGATATAAGCCCAGGAAACTGATTCAGATCCAAAATACAACGCTAAAGAAATCTTTTAAAAATATTTAAACTTTTTAAATAGATAAGTTTGTAAGCAAACTGGGATTTCTCTGACAATAGACAGTTTGCAGGACCCTCTGCTCCAGCAGATTGTTACCCCTCCTGCATCTCTGGATGGGCAACAGTGAGGTGAGGGGCTGGGGCTGTGGCCTGAAAGAAGGGCAGAGGCCAAAGAGGCACAGCAAACCATGACCAAACCAGGTAAAATCCCTTGCCAGAGGCAGAAGAATTGTCCCTCCAGGTTCCTTTCAGCTTCCTCTCTCCCCTCAACATGCCTCTGGCTCCTCCTGGGCCACAGCTGTGCTCTGACCTCGCTGCTGGGGGTCACAGAGCACAGAAGGAGAGCAAATGCTGCTGCAAGCAACGTTAATGAATCTTTTTCGACACACTAGGGCAGTATTGGAGAGGCACATGCCACTTAGAATGGCTGTTCAGTGACTCCCCCTCCCCCATAGTCCATGTGCTGCATTGAGTTTATGCAGAGGAACTGGTGGCAGCTTTGAGGGGAAGTAGCTGCATTTGCCATCCATACAGCTTCCCCCTCACCACACAGGTGAACATAAATAGAAGAAACTCATTCTAAGATGAATAGATGGCAGCCCGAACAAGACAGTTGTCACCTACCATGCCACGCTGGAACCCATACAGGGTATCAAACTACAACCCAGACTGAATGGGGACTCCATCCTGAGAGAAATCTGTCTTGAACCCCCGCCTCTGGCCTTCAAACAACCTCCCAACTCTCCATGCTCATCATCAGAAGCAAGCTCCCCACAGATCAGGACACATCAACTTAAAGCGGCACCAGACCCTGCCACAACAACAGATGCAAAACTTGCAGACATATCTCCACTACTACAATGACCAACATTCCGTGCCCCCCGCCCCCTACCCCAACGCTCCTTTCAAGATCCATGGGTCCTACACATGCCTGTCACAACATGTGGTGGATCTCATCCAGTGCACTAAATGCCCCAACAACAACTGTGTGGGTGAAACCAGACAATCACTATGCTTTTGAATGAGCTCACCCGGGAAAATGATAAAAGACAAAAACACCATCTCACCTGTGGGTGAACACTTTTCACAAAGCAATCATTCTATATCTGACCTGTCAGTTCTCATCCTCAAGGGAAACCTGTACAACACTTTCAAAAGGTGAACCTGGGATCTTAAGTTCATAACTTTGCTAGACACTAAAAATCGTGGTCTTAAGACACTGGATTTATGGATTACAATACAGCGGACCCTAGCTAGAGCGCGCATCGCTGGGCGCGGATTCGCATATAGCGTGGTCGCGGCAATGGATCCCAAATTTAAATATTTAAAGTGGGATCCATGGTAAAGCAGTCCATGTGTTAACGCGGTACCGCACCTGGATCCCGAACCCCACATTCTAGCACGGGTCCAGTGTACTTTGTAACTCACTGACAACCCCCCTACCTGTCCCCCTCCCCCTTCCTTTCCTCTTTATGACTGGAGGGAA